ATAAAAATAAATTTCATACAAAATAAAAGTATTTGAATTTAAAAAAAAAAAAAAAAAAGTAAGAAGAAAAGTTAGAATGGTATTCTCATTTGATCTGAAAATAATTCTAGATGATCAATAAATTATCACCTATAACCCTCATAGTTTTAATAAAAAAAGTTTCACGAACCATCACTTTCAATAGAAAATAACCGTTTTTTTCCTATTTTGCTTTAGCAGAAGTCACTTTTTAGTAGGGGTGGTCGCAGGCTGGTCGCGGCTATGGAACCTTCAATCCGTCATTCGTCCGCCAAATTGGCGGATTGGAGAAAATCCATCCGCATTCGTCCGCCAATTCAGCGGATGCGGATTGAGCGGATTGACGGATGGATGCGAATCGGTTTGGCGGTTTAAAATTTTACAAATTTTTAGCATAACTTAACATGTGCACTTCTTAAAAAAAAAAAATGTGTTGTGCATGCATAATATTCAACAGTGTGCTATGTGCATGCATATTCAAATGCAGTGTGCTATGTGCATGCATATTCAACAGTCTGCTCTACTGTGTGCAATGCATATTTTGTGTGATACTCAAATTATATAACAAACAAACAACAGTGTGCTGTGTGCAATGCATTTTCAATATTTTTTGTGTGCAATGCATATTCAACTATGCGTGCATATTCAACATTGTGGTCAGATTCAATTGTTGTGTGCATGCATATACAACAAACAAACAACCTAAGTTGTGGGCAGTAAGCACAACAAATAACCTAGACAGTGGGCGCAACAACACAACACAACATAAATTTTCAACATACAACCATCCAAAATAAAGTATTACAATCATCCAAAATAAAATATTACATTCATCCAAAAAATTTGAAACGTCTTAATACACTCATCCAAAATAAAATATTACAATCATCCAAAAAAAGTTTCATTTCAACCAATAGTCACATTTTGAAAACAACTTAAAAAGAAACAATAAAGCCATTGATTTCTTTGAGCCAAACCATGAGTCATCTAAACCTGCATAACAAAAAAATGAAATTATTTAATAAGAAAAACACTACAAAGTCTTAAATTTAAAACAAGTAAACATATATTGATGACATTTAACAAAGGGGAAGTATTTTACCAATGATATTAAATTTCAACAAAACTACTCTCCGGACTTGGGCTTGAACATGAACTTAATTCCGAAACAACAACACATAAAACATAACACAACAAAAACATATGAAGTGAAGATATGGAATTTTGAATAATACAAAATAAATGAAATTTAAAACAAAATAAATCATTGTATATATTACTCGAATTATATTGTTGTTAAAATTCTTTACCGACCCGCCCGACCCGGCCCGACTCGACCACGTTTGGATGGATGCGTGCCACGTGGCGGGCAGGTACGGGCCCAGATTTTGGCTTTTCGCGGGTTCGGGTCGTGTTGGGGTGATCTGCCAGTTTGGCCATTAAACCCGACCCGACCGCTTTTGGGTCCTTTTCCAATATGTCTTCGACAAGCAATGGATGATGTTGAAAAATTTGAACAACAATATGATTTGAGTAATATATACAATGATTTATTTTGTTTTAAATTTCATTTATTTTGTATTATTCGAAAATTGTTATCTTCACTTTACATGTTTTTGTTGTGTTATGTTTTATGTGTAGTTGTTTCAGAATCAAGTTCACGTTCAAGCCCAAGTCCGGAGAGTAGTTTTATTGAAGTTTAATATCATTGGTAAAATACTTCTCATTTGTTAAATGTTGTTAATATATGTTTACTTGTTTTAAGTTTAAGATTTTGTAGTGTTTTCCTTATTAAATAATTTCATTTTTTTGTTATGCAGATTTAGATAGCTCATTGTTTGGCTCAAAGAAATCAATGGCTTTATTGTTTCTTTTTAAATTGTTTTCAAAATATGACTATTGGTTGAAAGGAAACTTTCTTTGGATGACTGTAATATTTTGTTTTGGATGAGTGTATTAAGATGTTTTAAATTTTTTAGATGATTGTAATATTTTATTTTGGATGATTGTAATACTTTATTTTGGATGGTTGTATTTTGAAAATTTGTGTTGTGTTGTGTTGTTGCGCCCACTATCCAGGTTGTTTATTGTGCCTACTGCCTATTGCTTAGGTTGTTTGTTTGTTGTACATGCATGCACACAACAACTGAATCTGACCACAATGTTGAATATGCATGCACAATCAAATATGCATTGCACACAAAAAATATTGAATATGCATTGCACACAACACACTGTTGTTTGTTTGTTATATAACTTGAGTATCACACAAATGTGCATTGCACACAGTAAAGCAGACTGTTAAATATGCATGCACATAGCACACTACATTTGAATATGCATGCACACAACACACTGTTGAATATTATGCATGCACAACACTTTTTTTTTTTTTTTTGAGGAAGTGTACATGTTAAATTATGTTGAAAATTTGTAAAATTTTAAACCGCCAAACCGATTCGCATCCATCCACCAATCCACCAATCCGCATCCACCGGATTGGCGAATAGATGCGGATGGATTTTCTCCAATCCGCCAATGGCGGACGGATGGCGAATTGGAGGTTCTGTGGCCGCAACCGACCCGCAACCACCCCTACCAAATACCACAATGAATTATAACTTAAAAACATTTTGGTCCTAATCGCTTCAATGTTTGGTGCAAAAATGGCTTGTGGGCCCATAGGCCGTCTGAAGCCCTCCGGCAGCCCAAGCAAGCCTGACCTATGAGCCCGACCCACTTGGCCTCACCCATGGACCATTTCAAGGCCCGTTCAAAGCCCAACCCACTTGAGGCGCGCCCACCCAAGGCCCAATGTCATTTTTTGTGGAAATGAATAAAATTTTGGTAGAAAAAATAGAAATAAAAAATATTCAGGCCTGGCCCAAGCCCAGGCCCAGGCACGTTGGCCCGTCCAAGGCTCGAATATCCCTAGACCAGGACCTAATTTTCTAACCCATGGGCCAGCCTGAATGTTGGCAAGAGCCCGCGTGGCTCGACATGGGCCAGCTCGAGCCTGGGCTTGGGCCAAATTTACACCTCTAAGTGCAATTTATTCTAAGCGAAAAGCTGATAATCAGAAAATAGAAGTCCAAAACTCTTTTCCTCAACTTTCAAATAACCAACTTTTAAAAACCTTATTTAAGCGTTTTCTGCTTAATAAGCAGTAAGCAAAAATTGTATTAAACAATCTGATGCAAACTCTTAAATTAAAATAAGTTATACGCATCTTATTTAATCTGCAACAAAACCCCATATAAATACACATCACTTAACACAATCAAAAATCACAAAATGTTATAACGGGGCATATGGTGCACTCCAAAAAAGGGTATGCATAATTGAATTTCTCTTTTATTTATGATTGGTGACATTACATAACATAGTGTCACCACGTATTCAATATTATGACAAATTATACCTTCACCTCTAAAGTATTTCTTGCTTTGGTCCTTAAAATCCCTAAATCATATTCTCACTTTGATCTATAAACTAGCAAACTCTTTCTACTTTTGTACATGTTCTCAGGGTGGTTTTACTTTTAGGACAAAATTGAGTAAATTACACTTTTGACTCCTAAAGTATAACCATTTTATCACTTTAGTTTTTAAAATAATTACTTTTCTCTCGATCATAACTTGACAAATCAACCATCCACTAAAAATATTGTTTTACAACACTCGAACTCTCACTCTTTATTCACTTTTCCCTTTCTCCTCCATCCTTCATGCACCTTTCCATTCCACTCCTGCAACTTACCGCCTACACTCGCTCACCTTACCCCTACAATTGACCACCTCCCCCTTCTTAATACACCACTTGATCTTCTCCACTACCCTTCATACTTCGATTCACAACCTTTTTATTCCTCAAATGATATATACCTACCATATATATATATTTATTTTCATCCATTTCAAATAAAGTTAATTTTTGAAATTGGATAGGTTTGGGAGTATGGATAATTTTGAGATTAGGTTGGGCACAGATTTATGGACCAAAATGAAAAAACTTAAAAATGTTAAAGACTAAAGTGAAAGAATATTTACTGTCCGAACTAAAGTGAGAAATAGCCCATACTTTAGGGGTAAAAGTGTAATTCATCATATTTTTTAATTGAGTAATACTAATAAACATAATTTGTATACAAAAATTTTACACAAAAAGATGTCTAAATTATATTTATTAAAAATAAAAATGTCCATTACTATCATTTATAATTATAAAAATATTATTATTATATTATTTTATCGACATCATTTTCCTATTAATTTAGACCATGCTCATCCATACGTACGTATAATAGACGTGATCCACTCACTTATCAAGTTGCCAAAAAAAAAAAAAATGTATAAAGTGAGTGCAGAACAAAACAAACAGCAAAATAGAAAGAAAAATGTTAAAAACAATTCTTAAAATTGTTGTTAGTGTAAAAAAAAAAATTGTAAAAAGTGTGTTAAAATATGTAAAAAGAATATTACAATTATAAACAATTTAACATTTTAAGGTGCTTGTTGACAACCATTAAGTTGTTTCTGGATTATAAATTTAAAATTTGAAAAGAAAAACAAAAAAAAAAATAGATGAAATGCGAGACAGAGACTTTAAATATAAGGAAAATAAGAATTCAGTGCACTTTTTAAAAGGAAGTTACAAAATTATGAACAAATTTAAAATTTTAATTATTAGTATCTATAAAGTTAATTACTGATTTGCAATTATTCTTTTAAATAGTCATTGATTTGATATTTTTTTCTTAAATATAATTACAATTCAACTTTTTTTTTTCTTTTTTTTTTTTTTTTTCAACTTTTTTTTTCTTTTTTTTTTTTCTTTGTCCTTTTCTAATCCAAACATCTCAGAACTGCCATTAACAAAACCTAATAGTAGAAGAACCAAAAAAAGGGGACACCATAAAAGAATGAGACTCCCAAAAAGCAAATAATTAATTAATAGGCATAATGGTGGGCACGGCGAAAAGGTGCGAAAGAGTGAGACAGAGAGATAAGATTTAACAAAGATTTTTAAATAACTTCATAGTAATGACGTCCCATCATACATGTACTGCACGTCTTTAAATAGCAAAACCCACTTGCCCTTCATCATCCCTTTCTTAGCACATATTTATGTACTCATACATACATACCTCACTGCACACTAATAATAATGTCATTAAAAATGCCAACACCTTACTCACCATTGTTTTCTTCCTCCAGCTTTCGTTCTCTCTCTCTCTCTTGTTTTCCAGCCATATATCTGATAAAAATATTTTTTGTTACATTTTTATTGACTTTTCTCTCTCTCCATTTGGTAAACTGCTCAAATTAAAAGCAACAAAAATATATATATATAAATACAATTTTTATACATAAAACTCATTCAAAATGTTATCACTCATCAAGTGTATTGATTTTAAAAAAAAAAAACATAAAATATCATGTCATTTTGTATATTATTTTTATATAAAAATTCTGTTTATAAGTGTAAGTACCAGAAAATGACATGACAACAGTATTATTGTAGATATAAATAATCTTTGTGAAAATTTTGTTTTATAGTGAAAAATTTTCAATAAGTCACATCATTTGTAAAAAATATTTTTATGAATTTTTATTTGTATACTACTACTGTCATCCAGAATAAAAAAGACAAAACATTCCTCACCAATATTAGACTTATCATATTTTTATATCATATTAGGTTTACCGTTTAATTTGTTAAAATAATATTATAAAATGAATTTTACCATTTACATCCATATCTAATACAGTGTGTTGATAAATAAAATGATAATATAATAGGGGAAAATTTTATGGCACATTCCTTCAAAAGTGTGTGTACTATATACACTTTATTTCGTAGTGTGTTCATATATTTTTGTAATAAATATTACATATTTTTTTATAAGAATTACAATAATTTGTGATTGGAAAATGAAGTTATAAATTTTTATAGTAATGTTACATATTTTATAGTTAGAAATTGTTTTGATAAATAAATGTAATATTATCATAAAAATACGTAATATTATCATAAAATACGTAATTTTATTTTTGAACTACAATTGTCATAACTCCTAAAAAAAGTATGTAATATTTACTACAAAAAAATATGTAATAAGTACACATAAAAAGAAAGGGCAAATTACATATAACCCTCGAGATTTAGCAAAATTACAAATACCCCTTGAGATTTAAAAAATTACAGATACTCCCGAAAGTACTATTTACATAACAAATTAAGAGGCAAATTATTATGAAAATATAAACCTTATGAGGTAATTTATTATAAAAATATAAATCTCAGAGGAGTATCTGTAATTTTCGAAACTTCAAAGAGATATCTATAATTTAGCTAAACTTTGAGAGAGGTATATATAATTTGTCCAAAAAAGAAAACCTTTTAGTGTTTCCTTATAATATAATATAAAAAAAAAAAATTGCTGAAGAATATCATGTTAAAATGGAAAAAATTCTTACTTCTTAAAAAGGTGCAGTTAAGGTTCGCTGGAGAGTGTGCTTTTTTGGAACCTGCGCAGAAGTTGCCTCCGAACAAAACTGCATTTGACAAAACAAAATATTACATAAAAATACATCAAGTAGCAACCCACCCAACCAACAACATAGGTAGTTCCTTCTTTGGTAATAACTAGGAACACCTCTTTCAGGCTAAATATAGCAAATAAAAATAAAAAATAAAAACAATTAAGAGGGTTGTTTTTGCTTTTGAACCTGGAAAAAAGTTAAAAGGAGTTCCAAAAATAGCTCAAATATTATAATACAATAAAATAAAATACGTGAAAAATTAAAATTTGATGTAATATGAGTTACACCGGATCTACACATTTTATTTTTTAGACAGTGTTTCTCTAACCCTCAATCGTCTAGTATGGAATCGTGTGTTAATTTTGATAATTTGACGATTTGTTGGTCTTTAGGATTACTACAAATTCAAAAAAGTAATTTAGAATTTACTCAAAAATATCAATGTGATTCAAATTAATTCTACACTTGAATCTCACAATACACAATTTCAATTTTCATCACACCCGATTCTTGATCAAAATCTAGATCCCTAGACTTTCTACTTGATGTTTTAAACCTCTATATGTAAATCATTATAAAAAAAAAACAAATAAATCAGATTAATTTAATAATTATAACCATGTGATTTTATAATATTTGTAGATATATTCTAGTCAAATAAATATTTATTATCTTTTAAAAAAAATGTAATAAAATTATATAATTATAGTTATGAAATCAGTTTAATTTATTTGTGAATAACATATACAGAAAGATATGAATTATCAACTGATCTAGTTATCAAAATAGGATGTATGGTGAGCTCATAAGTCTAAACTAGACAGTCCAATCCTCTATATTGAGAACTGGAGACAAGCTGGCTCTTTATCTTCTAAGAGGAATTTTTTTTTCTTTTTCATTGCTGTTTTTACTCACTCATAAAAACTAATTTTAAGAAGTGTTAGAACCCATGTAAACCAAATTTAAATTTACACTAGAATTTTGACTCACCTTGTCTAGTTGTCTTCTGAGATTAGCATTTTCTTTCAACAAACGTCCAACTTCATTCTCCAGCTCATTTGTGTATGCCTGCATAACATCATACACATACACATACATACTATGCATACAATGCCCAAAAAAATCCATATACAATATTTAAACCACATGTTCAATTCAACCCGTTCACATACAGTCCAAAAACCCAAAATGAAAAAAAAAAATAAAAAAATTTGAAGATTGAAATACTATTTGTCAATATCATATAGGGAGAGAGAGAGAGAGAGAGAGAGAGACCTGTTTTCTAGCTCTTGAACGGTCAGCAGACTCTCTGTTCTTCATCAAGCGCTTGTGTCGCCGATCACTATCTTCATTAACCCTTTTCTTCACCAAAGCTTCCAAGGGATTTCTACCATAGGTATGACTTTGCAATTGTGGGTGTGACCTTGTCCGATCGGACTTTTCAAGGCCACAGAACAACTCATCGGACCCACCTGAACTCAAGCTCAATACGGTGGCCGGAGGCGGCGCAAGGGGACCGAAGGCGGTGGGGCCGCCGCTTCTGGCGGAGGAGGGTTCATAAACCCTTGTGGGTGGTGGTGGGTCTTTGGTGGTGGAAGGAGGTAGGAAGTCTTGGAAGTTGAGTTGGTGGGTGCAGTTATAGGTGTGTTGGAGAGAAGAGAGACTGATGTCTTTCCACACTTCCTCCATTGATTTTTCTTGGGGATGAGAGATGAGATGACCACTGTGGTATTATTCAATTGTTATAATTGGGGGATGAAAACAATCCAGATCAATTTGCTCTTGACACTATTGGTGCCCATTTCCAATACTTTATCATTTTTATTTTATTTAATTTAAGGAATATTTACGTATAAATTTTATTTTGAGGAATGATAATCTATTTAGTTCTAAAAATTTTCTTAAAAATCAATTAATTTCATTGATTTTGAAAATGTAGATTTAATGTATTATTTAGAAATTGGATTTATGGTTATACCATTATTCCATTATGTTTCCTTTGCTTTTTTTTTTTTTTTTTTTTTTGTGTTAAAAAGGTAGGGGAAAAGGTAAGGGACAAAATTTATGGGAATTAAATTTAGAATTAATTTTTATATGAGAATCTTTTTTATTTGGAAAATATTTCAAACTAAGTATAAAAATAACTTGAAATATGAGATCTTTCAAACATTCCAAAAAGATGTGGAATTCTTCAAACATTTTAAAAGTAGTATAAAAACTCCTTAGTAAGTTTTCGGCAAATGTATAATTTTAAACTATACCACTCCAATGTAACACTCAAATGTAACACTTCAAAAAAAAAATCTTTATTATACTTTTTTCAAACGTAACACTCCAATATAACACTTCAAAAAAACTCCTTAGTGTAACACTCTGATGCTGTGGTTGGTTGAGGAATTTGGAGAAGGATTTGAAAAGGAAAATGGAAAAAGTTGGTAAAATGTGAATAAAATATGCCTATATTTCACACACCTTTTCCCTTTCCCTTTCCAAATCCCTCCCTAAATCCTCAAACCAAACACAGCATAAGTAACACACAAAAAAAATTAATCAATGTTCCCAAACGTAATATTCTAATGTAGCACTCTAAAAAAGGATATGCGATTCTTCAAATCATTCCAAAAATAGTACAAAAATTCGTCAGTAAGTTTTAGGTAAATGTATAATTTTCAAATTGTGCGTGTTATATTTGAAACAAGTACATTAAATAATTTTTTAATATTTTTTCATATGTTATATCGGAGTGTTACGTTTAGAAAAAATAAACTAAGGAGTTTTTTTTGTATGATACATTGGAGTGTTATGTATGGAAAAAAAAATACTCTAAGGAAGAAAAAATACACTAAAAAGTTTTTTTAGAGTATTTCGTTGTTACGTTTGGGAAGTTTTTTTCGAGTGTTACGTTGCTACATTTAGAAAAAGTAAACAAATGAGTTTTTTTCGAATGTTTCGTTGTTACATTTGGAAAAAGTACACTAAGAAGTTTTTTTAGAGTGTTACGTTGTTATGTTTGGGAAAAGTACACCCAGAAATTTTTTAGTATGTTACATTAGAGTGTCACGTTATTAGAGTGTTATATTAGAATATTACGTTTTTTTTCATAACGTGGGATTTGTTCCATGAGGAAGGAAAATTCAAAACATTTATAGTGCAGATTGTCCAAATGTGTGATTTTACATTTAGATAAACTCATTTTTATCCTTAAAAAATTATACTTAAACATGTAAGTGACTACCTTTTATGTAATTTCCACTTTAATAGGACCTTTGGGTTCATAAGAAGAAAAAAAAAAGATTAAATAGTTCACAAAATCACATTTTGAGATTTATTAGTGTTTAATGCATGTTATTATGTCTAAATTATAATATTAATAGTATTAATTTTTTTTTTCAAAATTTAAGGAGTTGAGTGTAATTTATCATTTTTTAAATTTATTTATTAATAACACCCCGTAAAGAAGGCAAAAAGATTGAGAGTATTAAAAAGTATCCATTAATCTGATTTGTCATAAATTAATCATATTACGTCTCCCTTATCACACTATTAGTATAGATAATTTTAAAAGAGCTTTGTTAATTAGAGTCTTTAAAGAGAAATCTAAGGAATTTTAAAAGAATTGTATATTTTTTTATAACATTGGCTTTAATATAAAATCTACAATCTTTTCAAATTCTTAACAAGGCACATGCCAACAAAAATCTTTCTAAAATAAGGTCATATAATATTTTCGGACTAATTAATTATTAAAAAATGTTTGAGATTCCTAAATAATATTTTCACAATTCAACTCACACTGATATGGCATAATCAGTGTCAACTTTTTATTTGTTAAACACTCTACTATATAAGATTCAACTATTTTGTTATATCATTATTGGTAAATTTATGGATCTAAAATTATAAATTTTTATAATTTCTCTCATATGTGGCAACGCTTGCCATCATAGTTATATGATAAGAGAATGGTTTCTCTCTTGTTAAACTTTCAACTGGATTAGACAATTGAGATTTCTTATCAGTAAAAATCATTAAATGAAAATTTCTTACCAGTAATAATTTTTGAAAAAATTTAACTGAGTCATATTTTTATAAACTCTTACTGGTAAAAAAAAACTTTCGTTTAATGACTCTTATAGGTAAGAAACCTCCATTTAATGATTCTTACTGATAAAAAATCTCAACTGTTTGATCCAGTTAGAAGTTCAACTAGACAGAAGTCAAATCTATATGATAAATAGGTGATACATTTATGTTGTGCTTGATTTACTAAAATAGAGTGAAATAAAATTATTATTTTGTTAAAATATCTATTTTCATGTTTAATTGATTAAAAATTAAAATATATATATATTACAAATAAAATAATGAGTTATCATTGTAAACAAAATGACACTTTTCATTTCATTGTAAAAAAAATAATTATTTTCTAGGAGAATCTATGAAATGACATTGACACATTTCATTTCATTGTATCCCATCTCAGTTGATCAACTAGTGTATTAAATTTAAGCTCATGTGATCTAGTGACTCTAGTAAGAGAGTGTTTGATTTAGTGAAATTGATTGGAATTAAATTATCATTTTATTAAAATATTTATATATACATATAATTAGTTAAAAAATAATAAAAATTAAATTATAAATAAAAATTATTACTAACTAATATAATAAAATCATACTATTTCATTTCACTAAATTAAATATAATATAAAATAATGATGTGACCCAAAAAAGATAAAAAGATGAAATAAGTGTACTTTTTTGGGAGTAGCCAAACTAGGCCTAAATATAATATAAAATAACTATGAATTATCCGAGGAGTAGAAAATAATTTCTCCGTCAGGTGATGACAACCACATGCTCCGTAGAGACGTGGAATCCGTGGATGTGGGGACTACTGGCTACTCCGACTAATAATTTACTCGGTCTGTCTCTCTCTCTCTTTCCATAAATGTGATTGTACAATACAAACCATTTATGCTAATATTTGACAAAACCGAGGTGCCTCTCTCTTTCCACATTTAGGGTCTGTTTGGAATTATATTTTTAGTTTAATTTTTTTGACTTTTTAATTAATTTAGATTTATTAAGGCCTCGTTTGGTAAATGATTTTTTTAATTAAAAAATTAAAAAGTCACAAAAGAATTAAAAAGCTAACAACTTATATCAAAAATTTAAAGATTCATTTTTATTTCTACTTTTTGCACATCTTTTCGTAAAAAGTTAAAAAATCATTCTAAACATACTAATTTTTTTTAAATCATATATTAGTCAAAAAGCTAAAAGTTATTAAAAAAAACTGTTTCCAAACGAGGACTCGTTTTGTTTTAAAAGAATTTTTCACTTTTTCAATTTTTTATGAAAAAAAAAAAGTAAAATGATTATTAATTAAATATGATATTTTATTTTATTGACTTAGCCTAGTTTGGGAACTTGCTATTTTAATAATTTTTTAATTTTTTATAAAAAGATGTATACAAAAATAAAAAAAATAATGTGATAACTTAGAGATGTAATAACTTAGAGTAACTTTTTAGTTAAAATATGTAGTCTCCAAACGAGATCAATCTATTTTGTCTTTTTATACATTTTTAATTCCAACCCACTTGCCAAACGACAACATAAAATATACTATATAATTATTAAAAAAATTTAAATTTTAAAACTTATGACAAGTTGAGACGTATATAATAACCCTGTTTGAAAAATGACTTTTTAGTCTTTTTTGTTAATAAAGACAAAAAAAAGTTTAAAAAAAAAAAAAAAAAAAAACCTTTGTATGGAAAGAACTTTTTTAACTTTATTATTATTATTATTATTTTAGCTTGGTTAAAAAATTTTATTTGGAAAGAATTTTTGACTTTTTTTTTATATAATTTTGTGAAAAAAAAGTGAAATGATTATGGTTTATATGTGAAATTTTATTTTATTGGTTTTTTCGTCTATTTTATCTTGCTCTGTTTGGGAACTTGACTATTTTACTTGACTTTTTAGCTATCTATCTTTGCCTGGCTAAAAAGGTTGTATTTGGGATGATAATTGACGTTTTTTTTTATTTTTAATTTTTTATAGTTGATTTAATAGTTGTGAGAAAAAAATAAAATGATTATGATTTAAATATAATATTTTGGCCTCCTTTGGAAAGTAGGTTGAAACTAATTTAGCCCACTAAAACTTCGTTTAGCATGAGCTATTAGCCCACTAAAACTTCGTTTAGCATGAGCAATTTTGGTTAAATTAGTCAATAAAGACAAAATAGGTTAATTTAGCCAATAAAATGAAATGCCATACTATCAAAATTTGTTGGCCTTTTTTTTTTTTGACTTTTGAGAGTTAAAAATGTAATTAGAGCGTGCCAGCAAAGATCAATAAATCCTTACAAAAGTAATAAATGTCAACCAATTAACCAGATGATTGCTTTGAAGTTCTTTCTACTTCAATGAAGAGGACTTTTACTAGTAGTGTATGTAGGAGAAAATATAGAAGAAATAACTTAAAATGAAAAGAAGGAGGAAGAAAACAGTGCAAGAAATTGAGTTTAATTAGGTAAACAAGTGTTTATAGTAATACCTTCGCACTTTTACAGCCTCGAAAGAGAATTACAACAGCAAGCAGACTAACTTAGAACTACTCCTGAGGAATTGAAATACAATGCAAGAAAGTAAATAACTGGAAAGAAAGATGTAAAGTAAATGAACTGGTTTCTGGATTTGGATATAGTGTCTCCAATGTCAACGTTCTCTTCTATTTACATGCTCTACTAGTAACTATCAAAGTAGTTGGTAACCGTCGA